GGGGGGGGGGGGGGGTAGTTATTATTTTTTTATTTACGTAGGGAAACGTTGAAAAATGAATTTTCGAAAAAAAAGAAGAAAGAATTTGGATTTTATCGAATTTGTCAAAAACTACCCTTAGACGATTTTGAAGTCTTTGTCGAGTCTCAGGAGGGATGACACAAGGGATGGGAACGTAAGGTAAAAAAAAGAGAGGATATCGACAAGAGGAAAGCAGTGCGAAGGGTTGGTCGATGGTGGTATGGAGGTTGAAGAGAGTGAAAGGGGGTGGTCCGGGCCGCGGACCGTTGCCATGGATATTTGCATGCGTCCAATAAACGGTGGCTAAGGGGCTCTCGACTTGCTTAGGGTAAAAAGTGAAAGAGGATCGCTAAACTCCCTTGCACCCTCCTCGCGCCACCCTAATGGCTCCGAGGTGTACCTACGCGCCAACCCCTCTGGGTTCCTCCGAAGACTTAAAAAACGTAAAACGAGGGTCGCTCCTCGTCTTCTCTTTTCTTTCCTCTCTTCCATCCCTTATTCCCGCGACCTTTCCTCTCTTGGCAGACCTTCGTCGTCACCATACGAAATTCACCTTCTTATGTACCGTCTCGCAACCTTATTTCAATAAGGCGAAATAAAACGTCAGGGACTCTGGGGAGATGGGGAGGGGGTCGAAAGGTAGTACTGACTTTTGACGCCGCACAACGATTTCCTTATCGTCATCCCTTAGATCGTTACCTCACCTACCCTTAAAGTTAAAACTTTTTTTTACTACCCCCATGACATCGCACGCCTAAGTGACAAATCACACAGGTTACCGCTCCGATCGCAATCAAATCAATCGAGCGATACGAGTGTTTAATGCTAAGAGGGATGGATGTTACCACGAGCAAGAGGGTGGTGGGTTAGGGGTGAAAGAGAAATAAATGAGCGAGGGTAAGGGTAACTGGAATTCTAGAGAGAGATTCAGAAATGGAGAGAAGAATGGAGAATTTCATGTTTTAACAACTTACACGCAGCCTGGTCGGTTGGCTGGCTGGCTGGCTGGCTGGCTGGCTGGCTGGCTGGCTGGTTGGATGACTGGCTGCCTCCGGGCCAGCGAAGAGGATCAAAGCACTGAGTATAATCCGACCACGTTTGAGCATCCCGCTTTACCAGCGCTTCTGAACTTGTTGTGGGCAAGATTAACGTTTCTTTAATGGCGCGTGTAATATTCCATTACGTACAGTTCGCTCGAGAATTATTCGACGACGCCGTAACGCCGCGACGCTCGCCGATCGAGCCTCGGCGAAAGTGCCCGTAATAACGGGATTTAACGCCTTGATAAGTTCAACGAGTCATGCGAACCTTGCTTGCAATTTCATACGACTACTGACTTTCCTGACTCTGTTTAGATTCTTCAAACAGACATCGAAAAGTTCGCTCGTATATTTTGTAAGAAAAAAAAATACTAAAAAATTTATATTCTAGAAATAAGGTCACGAGATATTCTCCCTATCGTCGCTCCTTATTCTCTCTTACTGGTTCTCCGCTTTATCCGTCTCCGCTCGAATCCTTCTCCATTTCCTTTATCTCCTTTTATCACTCTCGAACACATTTTTCTAAGAATTCACCCGTTTTTCATACAGCCTAGAAATATACCACGCGCTATACCGTATCTCCTACTCAAAAAGTCTACCAACCGTCTGCTGCAAGAATATAATGTTCGATGACGCGTATAGGCTAGGAATACTTTGAGAAAGTACGACTAGCTTTACAGGTGGGGAAGATGGTACGTATCCCCGAGGACGGTAATAGTAAAAGGAGAAAAAGATAGCCAGGTTGAATATGATAGAAGAGTAGGAGAGAATAATAAAAAGAAAAAGAGAGATCAAACCAAGAGAAGAAACGTATTCCAGCCGAGTCTTGGTGATTGGGGGAAATTTCATTATTCTCAGACATTACCCACGTTATTGTAATGCCATCAAATTGGATACGCTTCGTACCCCTCAGCTACTTCGGATCAACCCCCAGACCCCCCCCCCC